GTGGAAGAAGAGGGTTTGCCACTTTGTGCTAGCTGCTTATTTACTTCTTTGCACTCACTACATACTTTTTTGCGCTTTATCTCAATTGTACGCCGCAGCGGAACGCAATTGTGGGGTGTTGCAGCATTGGGTGGATGTGGCCACAGCGAACAGAGATAACGGCTAGCGCAGCGCTATCTGCTTCAGTAGAACTGCCTTTATTTTGTGTTGTTTAGGCGTGTTACATGAGCAATGCAACATTTTGGAACCTGCAAGGGACCTTCATCACGCCAAGGTGACAGAGAGACGCCTTTCAGTTGCAGCTTGTGAAACCTTGTGGCAGGACAGGATAATGCACCTAGAGCTACTAACATTTAGGGCAGTATGCACCCAGGGACGAATGATCGCAATGCAGATTGCTGGCTTTCTGGGCATTCGTCTCTGGGTGTATAGTCCCCTAAATGTTCGTAGGATTGGGTGCACCTTCCACCAGCTGTCAGTTTCCCATAGACTTTTCCAGTCTGCCAGCAGTGGGACTGGATGGTGCACCTGTGCCCTCCACCCTCACTTAAACACCAGAGTTGCATGCACTAGGTCGCAGAGAGTCTGTCCAGGCATGAAAGAGTGTATGAGAACAGGCAGTCCATCCCATCAGGTGAAATTGATCCACAAAGAACTGAGCCTGGAGTCAGGGGACTGGGGAGCCAAACTGTGTACAGACTTAGTGCAGGTTGACACCGGCATTGCACAGTAACGCGCTGTGTGTCCCTGTGCAGTTCAGTGCGATGCAATTTAAAAACGCACTGAAACTGGATCACATGGTTTGTAAGCTCCAACGAGCCGGCCCTCTCAGTCCTTCTGTATTCATTTGTATTGGAATTGTACAGTGTGCCCTTATGTTGTAAAGCGCTGCGTAAGCTGTTGGCGCTATATAAATCCTGTATTATAATAATAAAAAACATGGCTCTGCTGCGGTACCATGCATTTTGGTGCAGGCAAACACACTGTATTTGTGATGTGTGTTTGGAGTGTCGTTAGGAATCTATTGCCACCCACAGCAGTGTTCTTGTGTGAACCAGGGCTGGGGCCCTTGTGCAGGGTGACTGGTCTTGTCTACACTCCCCCATAGATTTTTGCAGGCAACCTGTGATGGGTGTGACCAATAAAAATTCTGTTAAACCATCTACACATTGCTATATACCCCCTTCTAGCAAACTTCCCATATAAACAGGGATTTTTCGTTCACATACATTTCAATGCATGTTTAAGCCGGCCAACTACGTCAAAGTAATCCCTCTCTGGCCAGTTCCTACCTTAATCTCTTCTATCTATCTATCTATCTATCTATCTATCTATCTATCTATCTATCTATCTATCTATCCATTCAGTCGTATCCGACCCTTGGTAATTGCATGGACCGTCACTCGTACTTTTTCCATGAATTTTCTTAGCAATTATTTTACAGGTAGGTTGCCATGTCTTTCCCCAACCCCTACCATGCAGGAGATCCCACATGGCCAGGGATGAAACTAGGACAATTAAGACAGGAGCCAATTAACCTACCAGCATGTCTTTGGAGTGTGGGAGGAAACCGGAGTACCCGAGGAAACCCACGCGAACACAGGGAGAAAATGCAAAATCCATGCAGGAGGCGCCATGGTTGGAAATCGAACCCATGACCCAATTACTGCAAGGCAGAAGTGCTAACCACTAAGCCACTGTGCCGCCCATCTATCTATCAATATTATCTATTCCATAAATCTTTCCCACGCAGGGGTATCCACCATCAAACAAATGAATCAATATTCAGCCATCTGGCTTGTACATCGATTTCCGTCTGTCTCCTGCAGACTCTATCCGAAATGGCTTTCCCGCATACAGCTCGCCAATAGCACACAGCTTGTCTGGCTTCCACCTCTACTAGGTGAAAGCCCACCTGACTCCAAGGCAGAGCCCTCCTGTGTGCCAGGGTGGAGCCCTCCTGTCTGCTGGGGTGGAGCCCAGAATCATGGCCTGGCCTCCACAAAAAAGCCTGCACACACCTGTGCAATCAGCGCGCTGGCTGCTCTCAAAACATGGGCCCAGGATTGGAGATTTCATCCCCTCCCAAATCTCTTAGAAATCTCCAGGCTACAGGTCCCAAAACAGGCTTTACAAGCCAAAGAGGAAACTGATAAACCAGTTTCCTCTGCATTACAACTGCCTGGAGCCCCTCAACCTGTGTAGTCGAGAATCCTGGGTCACCACTGTGATTTCCACCGTGGCAGGATAGCGCTCTATCTATCTATCTATCTATCTATCTATCTATCTATCTATCTATCTATCTATTTTATCTATCTATCTTATCTATCTATCCTATCTATCTATCTGTCTGTCTATCTATCTATCTATCATCATATCTAATTTACATTTTTTGTTCACTGTTGTGAACTTTTTAGTTGACCACCCATTGAAGGATGGCCCTCTGGTTGTGGTGGTGGTGAGGATCAGGCTTGTCTCGCCTTCATTCTCTCACTAATGTATTCAAATGCCTTAAAATACTCCTGATGCAATGAGTCAATTGGCATCTCCAGGTCTTTGGACAGAAAAGTATCCACTTCAATGATTTCCTGCAGTGGTTCCTTGAGAATAGGTTCCAATGTACTTTGTACGAGTGATGGTCCTTCTTCTATCTCTTCCCAGTCAATACCCTTGAAGAAAGGGTGTGATCTGAGATTGCACACCAGGTGCGCACGTTGCTCTTGGTCATGACGTAAAAGTCTGAGTAAGAGTTCTTGCAGATAAAAGTTCAAGTGCCGTAGGAAATAGGGTTCCGTGGCGTACATGGAAGTAACCAACTGCTCTTCAGTCTCCTGTCCAGTATAAAAAGGATGCTCGCCTAAGGCCATCTCATATACTATTATCCCAAATGAGAGAAATAGTCAGCCGGGGTAATAGTATGGCCTTTGATAATAGACTTCAGGGGCCATGTAACATAGCGTCCCCACGCAACTTTTGACTCTGTTTTTCTCCGTGACGAACATTGCCGACAGGCCGAAATCGGCAATCTTGACGTGCCCGGCGTTATCCAGAAGAATGTTCTCTGGTTTTAGATCTCTGTGGACAATCTGAAGAGAATGAAGGTGCTGCAGTCCACAGAGAATTTCGGCAGTAACACATCTTAAGGTTACTTCATCAAGTGGAGCTGAATCTCTTATGAATTTTTCAAGATCTCCTCCGCCCAGGAACTCCATAGCAAAGACGAGATGAGTCTCTGTTTGAAAGGAGCAGTAGAGATGTGCGAAAAATGAGTAGCTGTTGCACATTTCCATGATGTAGCTCTCTGTAATGACGCAGCTGGGATCCTGTCGAAGTAATGGTCTTTTTTTAACCATTTTCACTGCTAGCTTCTGCTTAATGTCAGGATGAGAGGCCAACACTACTTTTCCAAAGCTCCCCTGTCCTAGTACTCTATGGAAGGTGAAACTTTCCAGGCTGAGTTTGTAGGACTGGTCGGTAGGTGAAGTAGATTTGACCAGTGAAGCCTCCTTACTCTCACTGGTATGTGAAGTATTGGGAGATTTCTTGTCCTCCATCGATGTAGCTTGCTGAATTTGCGCAGTGTCTTTGTTGATGGGATCTCATTTTTGCCTGGAGACAGAGAAAAAAAGTATTATTTCTACTTCCACATCATTTATGTGAAACTGCGGCCATTTAAAGGCATATATGTCTTTATTATTTTGCATAAATTTAACAAACATAGTATGAGAGGTAAACAGAACATGTACAAGTAGATAAATAACAAAAAAAAAAAAAAACATCACAGATGAGGTAACTGCGGCCATTTAAATGTCTTTTTTTTTTCTTTTACATATGGAAGGGAATCTTTGTTGTGACACTAATCTTATGTGACACGTTGTCCTTTATTGCAGTTCTATCCATTCCTAGACAATATGGTTCTCAGCCCTGGGGATCTATTGTCAGTGCATGGCTTTCTAAAAACCGTAACATCCCTAAGGGCTCGTTCACACTTGACTTTCTTTCTAACTCTTGCCAAACGCCCCTATAGCCTTGGACAGGCGTTAGACAGGCGTATGGGAAGCGTTTTTAACGTTCCCCAAACGCCCCATGCGCTTTTTTGAACCTGTTAGACATTTGCCAAGCGTTAAAACCGCACCACAAACGCTTATAATGAAGTTAAATGGTGTTAACGCCCCGCAACTGCCTCGCAACCGCACCGCAACCTCCACCATAGACTTGAATGGGAGGCTTCAACTCCTCCTGACTCGACACGAAGGGGTTTATTTACTAAGCTGGAGAGTGCAAAATCAGACTCACTTCTGCATAGAAATCAATCAGCTTCCAGGTTTCATTGCCAAAGCTTCATTGAACAAGCTGAGGTTAGAAGCTGATTGGTTTCTATGCAGAAGGGAGTCTGATTTTTGGACTCTCCAGCTTTAGTACATAAACCCCGAAGCGTCAGTTTTGCCGCGACGCTAACGCTTCAGTGTGAACAGCACTGTGTGCTGCCATGTGCAGAATTTTCATAAGCGTTTGAGAAGCTTTAAAAACGCTTCCCAAAGGTCCGTCTGACACCTGCTGACAAAGCTCGTGTGAGCTGAGCCTAACAGCTATGAAATGCTGAGTAACCGTACTTACACTTTCAGACCACCAAAAGATAGCAATCCTAATGTGATATCTGACCATATTGAGATCTTACTGCCAAAGAGCAATGATCAGCTACAATGGGGAATCCATACTGGCCCATTCCATACTCAGGCTGCGCTTTCTGCTAAGTAACTCTTGTGCTCTAGGGCTTGTTTACATCATATCCATTGAGCTACGTTTTTTCTACACACCCCCCCTACAATACAGCATGTTGTACTTTTCATAAACGCACAAGCATTTCGCTTGGTTTTTGATCCTATCTATGGCCGGCTTTACTGTCCTCCCTCTCAATGCAATTCCATTTGCAGACCCTTGCTGTTTCCTTATGTTCCCTATTGTTATTATGTCAGTGTCACTGAGGAGCTGCCACTAAAGTATATGGACCATTACAGACTTTTATGGACTTTTGGGTTATTTTAGCTTCATTTTGTATCATATATGCACCAGTGGTTGCTTCTGATTATACTATACTCCTTATTTACTTCTATCAATTCCATCATTCTGCTTATCCTACTTGAAAATCCACTGTCCTGTGTCTGGTTTCATCTCAGTAGTTGTGGATGCTACCCCAACTTTCTTGATGTGTTAGAAATATTTGTATATGAAATAAATCTATACAGTGCTGTAAAAGAAAATATTTGCCCCCTTCCTATTTTTTTTTTTGCATATTTGTCACACTTTAATGATTTTGACCATCAAACAGATTTAGTGTGTGCGTGTCTCAATCCAGAGCGCTACGGGCTAGTTCACATTAGATGCAGTCCTGAGCCTTTTTTTCTGCATCAAAAAAAATGCATGCACGGTGTTTTCCATGTACTCCAATGGCCCTAGTTCACACCAGTGCAGTCAGTTCCAGTCAGTTTCCAGTGCAGAAAAAAAAGTAGAACATTCTGCATTTTTTTATACAGAACTGTACTGAAACAGCAAACTGCATGAAAAAGTGCGTGCGTGTGGTGTGAACTGTCAGCAAAAATGTATCTTTAATGCATCCGGAGTGCATTATTGTGCTGTAAACTGGCCCTAAGTGTTCTTTTTCTCTGCTACCTCGTTCCTGTGCTATCTGTTTGAGTCACACCTGTCAGATTTTCATGACCCCAAGAGAAAAAAGGTGACACATGATGGAGCTCCAGCACACAGCCTTTGATGGACAACCTTATTTCTGTTCCTGTGTGATGTGTAAGGGGGAGGGGGGGGGTGTCCCTTCCCTCCAATCAGCTCTCAATGAGCTCTGCAGACTGTAACTTCATTTCTCTGCTCTCTGCTTTCTGAAAGCTCAGACATGCTGTAAAAATTCATACACACACAAACAGTGCTGTCAAATAAGTATTTGCCCCCTTCCTGGTTTTTTTTTTTGCATATTTGTCTCACTTAGATGATTCAGACTGTCAAACACATTTTAATATTACATGAAGAAAACCAGACTAAGTACAAAGTGCAGTTTTTAAGTGATGTGACGCTTTCATTTTATTAAGGGAAAAAAAATTTGTCCAAACCTGCCTGGCCCTATGTGAAAAAGTAAATGCCCCCTAAACCTCATAACTGGTTGTGCCTCCCTTGGTGGCAACAACTGCAGTTAAGCATTTGCAATGATTGGCAATGAGCCTTTCACACCACTGTGGAGGGATTTTGTCCCACTCTTCTTTGCAGAATTGTTTTAATTCAGCCACCTTGGAGGGTTTTCCAGCATGAAAGGCCTTTTTAAGGTCATGCCACAGCATCTCAATGGGATTTAAGTCTGGACTTTGACTTGGTCACTCCAAAACCTTAATATTCCAGCTTTCTTTTAGTGGCATTTGATCACCACTGAGGTTTTTACATTTTTTTTTTTTTCCAAAAAAGTTTTATTGAAGTAAGAAAGACAAAACAGATCATAGATAGATACGGATCGCAGTCCGTGCACATCTTCATTCACGTTCTCCCATATCGCAGACGGGAATAGGACATTAGAATAAATTGTAGATCAACATGAATCCAACAAAGAATATATCTTGGAAATGACATGCCTCTGAGGGAGGTCCGTAAAGCAGAGCTTCTCAAATGCAGTCAACGGTCTTGAATAATCCTGCAGATGTGGGGAGTTACGTAAAAAGTGGTGGATTTGTCTATAGATCCAAGGCGTTAGAGTGAGGGATTGCCACGCCTGCGTAATGTCTTTCTAGATAAGAGCTTAGAGTCTTTGAGGAATTGACGTACTGTTAGGTTATCATCACGGTTATACCCAGCGAGAAAGGTCGGAGACATCCCTGGAATAAAGTCCGGATTCATTTTGATCGGAGTAAGAGGGCTCGGAGAGGAAGAAAGTTCTCTTTTCTGGAACAATTGCGAGCTACAGCGTAATGTGGAACCTATAAGTGGGTGATTCCGAAACTCAGAGGGGACGTGGGAGGTTTTCAGCCATGGGGAGGTGGAGAGAGGTATCTGTGAGAAGACAGCCTCCAAACCAACCCAGACCTTACGAATGTGATTCGTGGTTCAGTCTACTAATCTGGCTAGGTGGCAAGACCTGTAGTAACGGTTAATATCTGGTAGTCCAATACCTCCATTCCTCTTGGGCATAGTGAGTTGGGTGAAACTAATTCTTGGACGTTTGTTGTACCAAAGAAAGGATGAGCAGAGCATTTTATAAGATTGAAAGAACGAGTTTGGTAATTGAATTGGTATCGTCTGTAGTAGATATAATATTCTGGGGAGCATGTTCATCTTAAGTATAGCTGCTCTACCAAACCACGAGAACCAAGGTTTGTTCCACGTCTGCAGGTCTTTGGAGATGTTACGTAAGAGGGGTAGAAAATTTTTTGCGTATAGTTCTGTGAGATGGGATGGTAGTTGGATACCTAAATAAGTGATAGCCTCGCGTTGCCAGGTAAAGGGAAAATTTGATTTCGCTTGTCTAAGCACATCCGGAGCCAATGATACATCAAGCGCTTGGGATTTAGAAAAATTGATTTTAAAGTTAGCCAAATACTGAAATAATTTGAAATCTTGCAACAAATTAGGTATCGTGATATGAGGGTCAGTCAGGAAAAGTAGAATGTCATCAGCAAAGGCTGCTACTTTATGTATTTTGCCATTGATCAAAATCCCCTTGACGTTATCATTGTCTTTAATGCAATTCAAGAAAGGTTCCAGTGTAAGAATGAATAAGAGGGGTGACAGTGGGCATCCCTGTCTGGTCCCATTGCTGATCAAAAAAGAATCCGAGAGGCGTCCATTCACTCGCACTCGTGCTGTGGGGGCTTTATATAAAGACATAATAAATGTCAAAAAGCGCAAAGGCAGTCCAATACCAATCAGAACCGCCTCTAGATAATCCCACGCCAGTCTATCAAATGCCTTTTCGGCGTCTAACGAGAGAAAAAATCCGGACCGTTGATTGTGGGTGAGCCAGTGATGTATATTTATGGCCCTTATTGTGTTATCTCTGGCCTCTCTTCCCGGAACAAAGCCCACCTGGTCCGGAGATATGATGGATTCTATAACCTGTAGTAAACGGTTAGCCAGAATCTTTGCAAAAATCTTCAGATCAACATTCAAAAGGGAGATCGGTCGGTAATTCGCAGGGGATGTGTGGTCTTTATTCTCTTTG